GGCCGCTGTCCAGCGCCACGTATGCGCATCACTGGCCTGAGAAAAGACCAACACTCACCATCTGAAGTACGGTTTCTACCGAACGTGTGCCACTTTCAAAGAATCGTAAAATCAAAAAACCTTAAGTCAAACCTGGGTAAGTAAGAGACCGTCTGTATGTGAGTTACAGGTGGAAATGCCTTCCCCTCCAGCTATGTGCTCCTGTAGGGCTGGAGCCCAGGGGATAAGCGACACTGAGTGGGGCAGAGCTTGGTGGGCGGGGTGGGGTTGGGAAGGCTCCTGAGTGGTCAAAACCGAGTCGCACCCTCGTGGAAACAGGCCAGACCCCAGAAGCCTCTCCTGAGGCTGGCAATGAGCCACATTTGCGAGGATGCTGTGTGCTCTGTCTTTGGGGACTTGAAAGCTGATGGCCCTCTGGTTGAGGGTTCCTAGGGGTCATTTCCCGCACTGGGGATGGGACTCTCACTGCCCAAAGAGAGGTGAGGCCGGGCCAGGAGGCCTAAGAAGTGTGGCTCCGTCCCCCAGGCACGGGCCCAATGCAGGCAGAGGCTGCCCGCACACAGGGAGGGAGGCCCTGGCACTCACCATGCCCCCGGCCCCCCAGCTGAAGCCCTCCAGCTTTGAAGTTCTGTTTCCCTCGTCTTCTCCAGATTCCTTTGCAAAAACTCATGGAACTAGAAGCTGCAAAAAGCCATTCATAGTCCAAAACGCCCGAAGAACTCTTTTAATGAGATTTTTCAAGACTTTTCATCTCTTTCCCCTACTGCCCGCCTTTCCAGGCAGGAAGCTGTTAGAGTGCTATGTTTTTTGTGCCAATATCTAAAAGGGTCAATCCTTTGCTTCCAGAGGCTGCAGTGAGTGTACTCAGGGAGGTCAATGGTTGATGCCAAGGCCAAAGTGGCTGCTAGTGCCTGAGCCTAAGGCCCTGAGCTCAGTCAGGCCAGATGGGGAAGAGGGAGTTCTTCGGAGGTTGGGGGAGGTGGGTGTGTGTGATGAGCGCAGTGTTCAAAAACCATGAGGTAGGATCTTGGTGAGATTGCTTCAGAGCTCGGGGTGTCTGCCATTGAGGGAACTAAGCAGTGATGGGTGGGCGATGCAGGTGCCATCTTGGGTTGTTATGGGTGCAGGAGTTTTGGTGGAGGGCAGATGAAGGGCAGCTTGGGCCTGCACCGGGCTCTGTCTAGTCCCCATAGTGGGAAGCAGTTGGCATCTCTAATTGTTAGTGCAGCCAACTGCCAGCTGGGGAGCCTTAGGTCAGTCGTGAGTCCACTCTGGTCTCAGTCTCCCCATCCGGAGCAAAGGGAATGGACTAGGTGGGCGTCTCAGGTCACTTCCAGGTTTGACACCTGATGGCCTCTGACCTGATATAAGGAATGCTTAGGAGGGGGTGGGAGTCCGTTGCCTCCACTCCAGCCTTGGCAAGGTCATTCGGCTGCCTCTACCTTACGGTGAGAAGATGTGACCTTTGCCCTAGCCAACCCACGGGGCCATCCAGAGCAAAAGCACAGGAATGTCAGGTGCGGGGAGGCAGGGCCAGGTGGAGGTGGGGGTAAGCTCAGGGCCATGCCTGAGAGTGGACCCTGCATTTCAGTGGCCCCGTCACTAAGAACTGTGTCTCAGCTTCTCTGAAAGGCACACATCCTTGCAAGACTCTTCTGCACCTCCTGAGCTTTGCCTGGTTGTTCTCTCACCTGAGGTCCCACCAGCCTGGGAATACCTAACCTCTCTAAGGTTTGAGCGCATCTCCCCCTGGAGCTTCTCCCGACCCTCTGTGGCAGGGACTGCCATCCCCGTCCGTGCAAGGCCCTCCCTGCAGACGTGTGTGTGCAACATGGCCTGGGGTGAACATGCCGGACCGTGAGCTCTGCAGCCCGAGCTGTCCTCACCGTGGCGCTCACTCTGCAGCCCTGCCCAGTGCCTGGCACAGAAGGTTCTCATAGCCATCCGAGAGAAGGATGGAAAGGGTGGAGGGCTCGGTCCTGAGGCCAGATTCCTCCAAGTCCTACTCCACCCTGGAACACGCTCCCGTCAGGAAGGAAGGTTTATAAGAAAACATAGCTGGAATTCCGACGTCAATTTGCACCACACTCCTGACAACACCGTGCATGGAATGCCACGCCCCACCCTGCCCTGCCAGCCAGGCCTCGGGAACCTGAGCGCCCTCACGCCTCATGGGGCACCTGGCAAAGCCGGCACTTGCCCCAGGCAGCCGGATGTTCGGTCTCAGTTCCACTGATGGGCTGGCTGATGAATACCAGGGGTCACTTGATGGCTGGCAGACAGACTGGTCAACGGGGATGGGGTTACTTTGGGAAGCAAGCCCACTGTCCTTTAGCCAAATGCCCCCCCCCTCCCCCAGCCAGGGGATGGCCTCGCCCACCTCCCAAATTTTGGACTTCCTCAGGGGAAAGCTGACCAGGCGAGGGAGGCTACTTCTCTGGCCTTTGGGATCTAATGGCTTTACAAACATGCAAAACTAGACCCTCCTCCCCCTCCAGCATCCGTGGGCTTGACAGCAAGCAGAGTGTGCTGGTGCAGGGCATCCAGCCAGAACACTCCCAGGACAAAAGGCGGCTGAGCCCACAGATCTGGGGAGTCAAGAGACACCTTAACGTCAGAGGTGAAGGCCACCCCAGCAACCATCAGTCTGTCGTGCTCTGGGCAGACGTGGATGCTGAGCCCCAGAGGGAAGGAACTCGCCCAAGGTCACACACTGAGCAGTAAGTGGCAGGACAGGACTCCTGTCCAGGACGCTGGACAATGGGCCCCTTCTGTGGCTCTTAAGAACGGCCTTCAAAGAAGATACAGGGCTGAGCTGGGAAAGCAGGGCAGGGTGGGGAGAATGTAAATAATGTTTACACGGCACTGTTTGGGCTACAGATGCTTTCTGCCTGTGAGAACACGCCACCCCCCGCACCCTAGGCATGAATGAGGATGCTGAGGCTCAGACAAGTGATATGATTGCCCAGCCCACAAGACCAGGGAGTGGGGCAGCCTGTCCCCTGCTTTCTCTCTGCACCCAGCCTAGCCCCTGGACTACAAGCTTGCTGCTGTGAGGACAGATCAAGGTGCTGTCCATCCCTCCAGAGTGGTCCTACTGTCTGGCCTTCGTGGAGGAATAGTTGGGCTGGGCATGGGGCCTGCCATGCCCTCCTCTCTGGTACATTCAATCAGTCCTCGTGGGAAGTCCCCTCTGACCAGGACCCAGACAATGGGATACGAGGAGGAATGAGATTCCGGGAGGGACTCAGAGCTGCCAGTGTGATGACTGCTGTGCTGAGGAAGCTCAGGGGGTGGGCAGGCTGCCTGGGTTGGCAGGAAGGGTGGTGACCAGGATGTCCCACCTCCGAGGCTACTGGCTTCCTACCCGGAAGAGCACAATTCACCTGTAGACAGGACCGTGGAGATCTGAAAACTTCACTCATGGGCACCTGGGTTGCTAGGTTACCACAACAACAAGGGAGGGAGAGGGGCTGCACGGAGTGGTGAGAAGTTGTCAGCATGGCCAGTGGTGTGCACCTGTCCCCTGCTACTCCACTCACCACCCTCTCTCTGGCTTTGGCCACCTCCGGCTCAGCCTCCCAGCCTCCCAGCCCCGTTGTGGGTTAGCTTATCAAATTTTCCTCAGCTGCGATCACTGTCCTGCTTCATTAAGCTGCCGGGTCTGAGGGTGGACAATGAAGTGCAGAGGCGCCATTTGTCCTGAGTGCCTTCCCAGCTGGTTAGAAACCCCCTCCACATCCTCCCTGGTAAGGTGGTCAGCCCTGGTGCACACCCCCAGGACGAGACGCTCACTACCCACAGAGTCTGTGGTGGGCCGCTCTGATTCCTCACCAGCTCTGACTCTTCTTCTCACGGAGCTGGAATCTGCTGTCCATAACCACCCATCTGGGAACCCCGACCACGTCTGCCCCTTCTGCCCTGAGGGTCCTCGGAAGACTCGTGGCTCCCACCATGTCTGCACACATCTTCCCTTCTCCAGGGACGTCCAGGCCTGCCCGTGTCCTGCCAAACGGCTCTGCGATGTGTCCCTGTCCCTCTCAGGGCAGAGCCCAGCGGACTGGGCGGGGTTGGCCCTGAGCAGAGAGTGCAGACCAGTCTCTCCCTGCCTGACTGCGCTGATCGTAGTCTACGTGGCCGGCCGCACACGGGCTCCTGAGAGTTGCATCAGCAGCTCTCTCTCCGCCATGCGGCCTCGAAACCGGCGACTAGAGCAGAGAGGACTTCACTGGTCCTCGTGCTGTGCTGTCCTGTGTGGAGGGCCTGGGTTTTCATACCCTAACTCTGTCACCGGCTCTCTGTGTGTCCTTGGACACCTCTCTCAGCCTCTGTCTTCCTAGCAGTAAAATGGGTTTTAGACAACCTGTTGGGTCCCATCTCTGGTTGACTGATGAAACTCTCAACCAAAACACTCCTTTCTCATGTTGGGGCTGCCTAACCTGACAGCAGCGCCTCGTGGGTCAGAAAGGCCTGACAGTTTACAAAGCAGCCACAAGTGCCAGCAGGATTCTTCCCAGCGCTCCTCCCAGCCTTCGTAAAATGCCCCCAATCAGACTTGTCCGAACAGCCGCCTAGAACATAAGCCGGCCTCGAGTCCTGACCCTACAATTTAGGCCAGCCATGTCCCCTCTCCGTGCCTCAGTTTCCTTTCCTGCAAAAGGGGGACAATCTGGTTTTTCTCAACGGGTTGTGGTGAGGTTTGAGAGAGCAGGTAGGCTAAGAGCCTCACACAGTCCCCGGCTCGCGCAGATGTGGACGCGATTCCCGGTGATTCAATATAAATCCCAGGAAGAGGCCCCTCCTCTGCTGGGGAGGCAGAAGCAGAACACAAAGAGCCTCTGTGTTCCAGGGGGATAAGATCAAACTGAAAAACCCAGGCTTGCAATAACTTGCGCTGGCACGTCTCCCGGGGGGACGCCGCGGGTCTTTCTGCCGCAGACTCAGAGCGGCCGCGGCGGGAGGCTGCGGAGAAGGGCTCGGGGGTGACGGGCCGTACTCACTTCAGGGACAGCGAGTAGTCGTGCTTGCTGGTCTGGCTGTTCCGGACGAGGTAGCTGCACTCCTTGCAGAGTCGCAGCAGGTTCTCGGCCTCTCCTCTGCTGATGGCTCCGTGATACCATCTGGGGAGAAGAGAGAGGGTCACAACCCTAGGCCAGGACCCCACAGCGGACACCTTGCATTCTGCTCCTCCCCGAGGAGGTTCAGCCCCCTCAGAAGGCAGCTGTCACGGCCGGGGCCACCTTGATATAAAGCAGGTGTGTTTGCGCACTCATGTCCAGTCATTCACGAACATTTACCGAGTGCCTGCTGCCCGCCGGATCCCGGGGAGAGGACCCTGAACAAACCCACAGTCACCTCCCTCGGGGAGCTGACATTCTAGTGCAGGGGCCATGGAGGGGACAGAGCAGGGCTGTGAGGGCGGGAGCTCTCGGTGGGGACGGCTGTTGTAGGCAGTGGCCACGGAAGCCTTCCGGAGAGAGTGACATTTCAGCGTGGGCCTGAAGGAGGTGCTGGAGGAAGCCGGAAGGACAGCAGCTGGAAAAGAGCATTCTGGCAGAGGGATGGGCAGCAAAGGCAGAGGCCAAGGCGGGAGTGCCTGCTGGGTTTTGCAAACAGTGTGGAGTGAGGTTAGGGAAGGGGTGGGGGTCAGGAGGAGGCCCAAGAGGCCATGAGGCAGGGTCGGGTCTGGGGGCCTTGTGTGCAATGTGAGGCTTCTGGCTTTCTCCGTCCAAGTGACACCAAAGCCATAGCGGGTGCTGACAGGAGGGACATGTTGATTCTGAGACACCTGCTCATCACTCAGGAGGGTGGCCATCTCATTGCTCCGGCAGTGCAAATCTGGCATTGACTGGGCATAAGGGGATCCAGCATCACTGCTTCTGGACACTGCATGGTTGAGTGGCAGAGTCAGGGGGAGGGGTGCAGGGGCTGGCGGCCTAAGGCCCCCACTGCAGGACAAACAGGGAAGAGTGACTGTTGAGAATGGGAAGGCTGAGGGCACCAATTCAGTGTTAGAGTGGAGACCCGAAGACGCCAGTTAGTGGGCATATTAGAACACATCTGGGAAGGTGGTGAGAGACGGGGCCAGGAAGAGAACCAGAGGTGCTGGCCAGGGAGGTGGGAGCAGGCTCCGGCTGCAGAGGCACATATGGTTTGTCACTGGTCAGCTAGGTGGTCTGGGCAAGTGGTTTAACCTGGCTGAGCGTTGGTTCTCTATCAAGTTAGGATCCCTCCACCCCTGTTTTGGGGCTGAAGATTAAGTGGGATGATGCATAACAGGACTTATGCAGAACCCGGGATGGGATGAATGTCTAGGAAGGGCAGCTATGAGCATCAGCAGAACGAGGCTGAACTTGCAGGTGGCTATGGGGGAACTTCCCCAGCAATCTTATTTCTGGTTGCTGCCTGCCCCGTAGGCTGCATCTTAAATTCCCAGGTGTAAGCGGGATGCTGCCTCCTGGTCCTGGCCACGCCATGAGTGCCCTGCCAGCAGCCCCGAGCATTCAGCTACAGACATTCTCTTAGAGCAGTGTTTCCCAAAGTGTGGTACGCGTGCCCCCAGGGGTACGGGAAGAGTTTGGTGGGGATATGCACTGCACCGGGCTTAGCTGCGCCTAATTCTACATTCTCATGAGTACGAGGGGTACTCAGCGTTACGAAAATTATAGAAGGGGTTATACCAAAAGTTTGGGAAACACTGTCTTAGAGAAACGCTGCCTTTCACCGTTCACTTCCTGCCATTCGCTAGGCGGTGCTCTGAACAGGAGCAGAGTGCCGTTGATGGAATTATGAACAAAAGGAACCCCAACCAGCTCCAGGAAAGCAAGGACTGGAGAGCAGGTATGAGGAGCATGTGACTGAGCCACCGACTGCCCCGGAGATGGCCACTCGAGGTCAGCCCTGGGGCTGGACTCTCGCAGGGGAGACTGCCACTGGCCCAGGGAAAAAACAGAGAAGTGTGCAGAATGCAGAGCCACCTTCCCTTCCAAACTTGCACAGGAATGAGGGGAGCGTGAAGATGGGGCTGCACCAATCAAACACTTGCAGAGGCGTGAAGGCTCAGGTGTGCTCTAGCAAAGGCCTGCCAAGGAAGGCGCTGACTTTAGAAACAAGCGTTAACAGTTGGGGAAGTTGTTATCTGAAAATTTCACCTGTGCAACACACCCCCAGTGAGCCGACAAACGCCGTTTTATTAGGAAAACAGGTTCCAGCCGTTTGAAGCCGGTGTCCGCAGGGAAGGTCTGGAAGTGGCCTCCGGGGCAGTGCTGCCGGCTGCCCGCTGCCCGCCTGCCCGGAGCCAGGAGCAAGAGGGCTCTAGGGAGGTGGCGGCGGGCGGGCCTCCCAGAGCGGTAACAGGATAAGCTGCTGGCTCCCTCCTGGGCAGCTGCTCCGGCTGCTCCAATGGAGAGCAAGGCAGGGAACTCAGTGGAGGCTCAAGCAGACCCAGGCAGAGTTTGGAAGAGAAGCCACTGGCCAGGAGACGGGATGGGCCCGTGTGGTCCTGTAGGGGGCTGGGCCTCGAGTCCTGACCCTACAGGGGCTAAGGTCCAACCATCGCCATCCAGCCCATCCGCTCTCCATTAGCTCATCCAGTATTTACGCACCACTCACTCCATCCTTGATCTCGTGGGGCCGATTCAGGGAGAAGGAGAACCAACAAAGAGAGCCAGGAAAGGATTCCAGATAGTGACAAGTGCTGTGTAGGGATCCTGGGGGTGTGGGGGCTGGAGTGTACTTAGAGTGAAGAAGGCTTCCAAGAAGATGACATTTGACCTGAGACTCTCCATGTGAACAGGAGCCAATCATGAAAAGTGTCAAAGAAAACACGCTTTCTGCAGAGGAGCCAGCAAGGGCCAAGGTCCCGAGGTGGGAATGAGTTTGGGATGCTCACGGAGCAGAAAGGATGGTCCGGCACTGAGCCTGGGAGTGGTCCTGGATGAGGGTGGAGAGGCCTGTGGGCCAAGGGAAGAAGTCCGAGTTCCTTCTAAGCATAGTGGAGGGCAACGAGAGTTTTAACCTGTTAACTACTACCATGTGCCCAAAACAGAAACCATCCCCACATGCCATGATATTTTGAATTTAATTGCATCTGTAGACGCTTATGGCATACAAAGGTCAACCTGAGATTACTTGCTCTGGATGATCTTATGAAATCCACCAGGCTCCCTGAAGAGGGGCCAGAGGGGACGTGAAGCAGAACACAAGTCAGGAGGCTTCCGCAGTGGCCGATGGGAGGTGGCCACGGAGAAGGGAGGACGAAACGGACCCAGGCTGTATTTTGGATGGATAACGGGCAGAACGTACTGATGCATTAGATGCTGATGTCAGGCAAAAAGAGGGCTGAAGATGACTCCAGGTCTGTGGCTTGAGTAACCAGCCACATGTTACATGTGGTGCTATTTATGGAGGTGGGGAAGCTGGGGGAAGAGTGTTTAGGAGATGATGAGGAGCCCAGATGCGAACACGTTAAATTTGAGATGCCCACTCGTCAGCCAAGTGGAGATGCCAGGAAGGCGGCTGGGTGTGGGAGTCCTGTGTTCTGGGAGAAGTGTGGGCGGAATGTGAATCACCAGATCCTGAGCCCCGGACGGTCCATCCTTCAGGTCAGGCTGAGGTGAGGAGGCAGGAGAAAAATAGTGTCTGCGGAGGAGGGAGCCGGCTACTCTGCTGGCTGCCCTCGAGGACAGAGGCTGTCACCTGGTGCCTGGGCAGGAAAGGGGAGCAGACTGTGGTGGGTGAGAGAGAAGGGGAGGTGACGAAAGGGAGAGAGAAAGTGCTGGCAGCTCCGTGGGGACTCCGTCCATTCAGCAGACAGCTATTTATGAGCATTTACTATGTGCCAGGCACCGTTCTGCACACTGGGAGGAAACAGTGGTGACCCAAGCAAGTCCTAGCCCTCACAGAACTTATGTTCCCAACAGAGAGAATCAAGATTTTATTTATTTATTTAATTTTAAGAAGTTTGTTTTAAAGAGAAGTTCATGACTAGAGCATGTTTATGTGATGATGGTAACCATGATGCAGGACAGAGCAGGCTGTGGGCTGCCTCCAGGAGGTGGGGGAGAGGGCTGTCCCCTGAGCAGCTGAGCAACTCTTCCACCGCCCCAGGAGGGAAGGCAGATGTGTGACTGCCCCTCCTCAACAGCCCCCCTAGTGTGTCAGCCTCCGCCTGCCCCTCTCCTGTGCCTCCTAAACACGGAGGCATCATCAGTCAGGTGAGGGATTAGGCGACCCTCTCTGTCTGGGTCATTGGGCTGTGCTGGAGATGGGGTTTTACCTGAGCACCACTTGGTGATGAGTCAGGGCCTTCGCAGGCCAGAATAAGCCTGGGAAGAAGAGATGATGTGGGAGGGAGAGCCAGCCTTGACTCTGAACTTGGCCAAGGGCCTCGTCGGGCGGGAACGGGAAAGGAAAGAGGGCAGAAATATTTTTGAGGGCCCCAACCTGTGGAAAGCTCTGCCCCGGGGGCGGGATGTGGGCGGGGGGAGAGGGTAGGCTGGGCTGCTGACCTCACACAGCCCTGGGTCAGGATGCACATTGAACAGCTCCTGGCATCTCTGGATCATATTGTGTTTGTTGATTAAAAAGTAAACAGTTTGATCAGACATAAGCAAAACCTGCCACCCAATCTGAGTGTCTATGAGAAAAGGTGAACACAGTGCTCCCCGCACCCATGTGCTCAGCACAGCAGGCGAGGGGCAGGCTCAGAGGCTGCGGCCCCCCGAGGATCGCACATGCTTAAAAAAGGCACACGAGCACATGACATCATCGGAAAACCCTGCATCCTGCTCACCGGGCCAGCATTTCCTGTGCGGGATACGCTGTCGGCCGTGCTGAGACCAGAATCCCCTGGGCGGAGACCGATATAGTTCGTGATCTTATAAGGAGCCAGCGTGGTGTCAGCTAATCTCTTGGCGGACTGAGTGCCTGCTCTGTGCCAGGCGTGTGCTCAGGGTGGGGGCAAGAGTGTGGTGCACGCGGGGACTGGTTTGGCTCAGTGGATAGAGTGTCGGCCTGGGGACTGAAGGGTCCCGGGTTCGATTCCGGTCAAGGGCATGTACCTTGGTTGCGGGCACATCCCCAGTAGGGGGTGTGCAAGAGGCAGCTGATCGATGATTCTCTCTCATCAATGTTTCTAACTCTCTATCCCTCTCCCTTCCTCTCTGTGAAAAATCAATAAAATATATTAAAAAAAAAAAAAAAAAAAAAAGAGTGTGGTGCACAAGGAGAGGGAAGTGAGGGGAGCGTCACGGAGGTGGAGTTCAAATCCTGTCTCTGCACTGGAACCTGGGAGCCTAGCAAAGGCTCCACCCCGCTCGGAGTCCTGACTTTCTCATCTGTGCAATGGGGATGAAAACCCATTTATCACACATTTGCTTGTCAAGAGGATGATACACCTGAAGGTACCAGCACAAGATCCAGGTCCTGCTTTATTGTGTTCCCGGAGAACCTCACTCTAGTTCAGGGACGTGGAATTCTGAGAAAAGGAGGACGCAGTCTGGGGGCAATTCAGCGTGAGCGGCAAGCTTGGGAGGTGGGACCTCACGCAGGTGATGGGGAACCACTGAAGATCTCAGAGCAGATCAGGGGCCTGTTCACATTAAAACCCTGGCAGAGAAGGGAGACGATCATCATGGTCAAGGGGAGGACAGAAACCAGAAACGGGCCTTACCAGCAGGGTTAGGGGAAGTGAGGAGGCAAAGGGGCTGGGAAAACCCAAACCAAGAATGTCAAAGCCTTGCGCTAATGCCAGGTAGGTGTGGGGCAAAAACATCACAAGCTAGAAAGTAAATCTGACAACCAGGGGGCAGGATTTGGCCTATGTTTAGCTATTAAAAAACTCATTTGCGGCGTGATGAAGACAGAAACTGGGATGTGAGAGGGCGGGGTGAGCTGTGTCCCTCCGACTAGTCCCCAGAAGTAGGCGAGGTGATGCCGTGTGGACGGAGAACGCACCTATCATTGACCTGATGGTGGCCTTGACCTTTCGTAAGCCTCAGCTTGACCACCTGTATGTGGAGGCAGGGTAGGGGTGTGACTGAAAGACCCCTGAACGCTAACATTTTCTGTCTGTTTTTTTTTCTTTTCTTTTTTTTATAAATATATTTTATTGATTTTTTACATAGTACAGAGAGGAAGAGAGAGGGATAGAGAGTTAGAAACATCGATAAGAGAGAATCATCGATCAGCTTCCTTTTGCACACCCCCCATTGGGGATGTGCCCGCAACCAATGTACATGCCCTTGACCGGAATCAAACCAGGGACCTTTCAATCCGCAGGCCGATGCTCTATCCACTAAGCCAAACCGGTTTCGGCTCAGTCTGTGAGTTTTTACAACAGGATAAAGAAAGGGGAGAGCGGTGAACAGGAACTGGGCGCCGAGGTTGGGCGCTCCCTCTGAGAACTTACATTTGCTTCTCCAGCGGGACAGCAGGATCCACTCTTTCGCCCAGGATCCCACAGAACTCGGGGCTCCCGTGTTTGATGGGCTTGAAGCCCCCTCCGGGAGCTCGAAGCTGGCGCCGCCGGTCCCGGGAAGGCGAGGGGGACGACTGTCGCTTCTCGCTGCCGTTAAACTGGGCTGTGGAGAGAAAGCGCACAGTTACGGGAGAAAGAGCTCCGAGCAATGAACAAACGTGGCTCCCAGGATGTGGACTTCCTAAGACAGGGCACCAAGGTGCTGTGAAAGCCAGGCAGTGCTTCCATGGGGCTGGTTGAGTCTGCAGAAGCCACTGAGCTCAGCCTTATCCCCAAAGGAAGCCCCTGCAACCTCCAGCAAGGTTGGCTTTCCTGGGTTGGCTCAGCCCCCTGGACAGTTCTCAGGAAAGAAAGTTATTCCTCATTTTGTGCCAAATACCTGCCTCCAAGTGGCTCCTCTTCTCCTCCCATTCTCCCATCCCACCAGGGCCGCAGTGGCCACACTGGCCCCCCTTCTTCTGGGACAACTCTACAGAGTTCCAGTCAGGGTCATGGGGCACCCCCCGGTCTGCACCTCTTCACTCTGTGTCCCCTGTGTGGGTCCTACGCCGCCAGACCTGCCCTGGGCCCAGCCCCCAGGGAAGGCTGTTCACCCCCATGGGCTTGGGGAAGAGGACCAGCGATAATGGACAAGGAGCGAAAACACTGAGCTGAAAGGAGCTGCTGGGAGGATTCCTGGAGACCAGCAAGTCCACCTTGCGTGTCTCTCTTTGGGCCTCAGTTTCCTCCTGGGATGAAATAGGGATGATGATGGCTCCCACCTCATGAGGTTGTTGTGAGGATTCGGTCACGTGTGCCCACAGAGGCCTTAAGCGTGCCTACCATGTAGTCTGTGCTGGATCAGTGTTATTTTGCATCCATACGTTACAGATTTTTATTCTCATGTCTGCTCAACGTGGACACGGTACTGGTCACCTCACGTAAGCTACTGAACTGAACTGACCTGCATTCCTCTCCTAAGCCTGCCCTGGCTAGCTGGGAGCCGTGGCTGTCACTCAACCTCTCTGAGGCCCATTTCCTCCATCACCAGGCTGCTGTGACCACCAGATGAGGGGACACATCCCAAGGGCCTGGCACCCGCAGAGCGCTGAGCAAACCGGGCCAGGGCCTGCGACTAGCTGTTGGCCAAGCGACACACGTCTTTGGCCAAGCGACACACTGCCCTCCCACCAGCAAGCAGAAGAGGCGAGCGGCGCTCTGACCCAGCAGCCAACCTCACACTCCCGGGAGGCGGTGGGAAAACCCAGCTTGTCGGTGGCGATGGAGGTCCGTGGGGACCGAGGATGGGAGTGAACTTGTTCCAGGACAGAAAAGGTCACCCATCAGGCCTGTGAAGCTCTTCCATCCCTCCAAACACTCTTCTCTGCTAACCGCCGAGGAAAGCAGCAGGAAGGGAGGCTCCTGCCAGGCGTGTCGGACCACGTGTGTGTGGTCGCCCTCAGACTGCAGCGGGGCCCGCAGGCCATCCACCCGCCCCTCTCACTTCTGAACACTCACTCACGCGGGCCCAACACACGCCAGGGCTGGGGAAACAGCAGCGAGCGAGAGAGCTATGCCTGCTGTGGAGCTCAGAGCCCCGTGGGGAGACAGACAATAAACCAGTCAGTCAGACCCACAGCTCACCAGTTGGCGGTAAGTGCTATGGAGACACGAAAGCAGGGCAGGCAAGGCCCCTCGAAAGGTGACATCGGAATGAACTCCTGAGGAAGAGGAGGGACGAGCCATGCAGAGGGACACCTGCCGGAAGGAAGGACATTCCAGGCAGAGGGAAGAGCAAGTTCAAGGGCCCTGAGGTGAGAACGTGCCTGGGGTGTTGGAGGACTGAGGGAAAGTGAGTGGGAGGAAGCTGAGCCCCGAGGGGCCTTGGGAAAGACGTTGGCTTTATTCTGAGAGGAAAGCAGAGCCATTCTGATGTTTTGATGGGGAGGTTTTAACCTGGCACTTTTATAACAGGATTTCGGTGCTGAAAAGAGATAGAGGGCAAAGGGCCCATGGGAACTCACTGTATAATACTTTCTGCTCGATTTTTATGAGAACCTAAATTGTTCTTTAAAAGATTTTATTAAAAAAGAAAGAAAGAAAGAAAGAAAGGAAGGAAGGAAGAAGGAAGAAAGAAAGAAAGAAAGAAAGAAAGAAAGAAAAGAAATGAAAAAGAGCGAGATGGAGGGGGAGCACAGGGAGAGCAGCGAGGAAGCCACTGTAGGAGGGGCCGGCCGTGCATGGACGTGCAGGGTTATGGCAGAGGGTGTCCGCTTCTGGCTGTGCTCTGCTGGCGGGGCAGCAGGCACTTCCCGGTACTCAGTGTGGAGTGCAAGGAAAAGAGGAGACAGCAGGCTTTTGGCCTGAGTGCTGGAAGGATAAGGCTGGCATTACCTAGGATGGGGAAGGCACAGAAAACTCTAGGCTTTCGTGAGCAGCCCGTGATGTCAGGACTGGCAGCATGGAGCAGGGGCAGAGCGAGGACTCTGGGGTCCTGCCTGCTCTCTGGCCACAGTGCTGTCCTGTGTCCACCCTCAGGCACAGATAAGACAGCAACACCTCAAGCCCCCTCTAGGCTCTCATAGAGGTGGTGAGGGGGGAAAGCCCAGAGCTGGGGCCTTGTCACACACGTCACTATGGGCCCCTCCCTGGCTTCCCAGCAGCCTGTGTCTCCCATCCAAGTTCCTGCCGAACCACACCGGCCCTCATGGCAGTCAATCAAACGGGGTGTATATTTTTGAGGTGAAGAAGGGTGAGGAAGAGGTGAAGTAGGTTCTGAGCTTGCAGAGTCTGTAGGAGGGGCTGGCTAACCATGGGATCAGGTGGACAAGAAAGGGCCTGGTCAGAGAACCCCTTTTGAAAGAGCTGGGACTTGATTCTTGGTTAAATCAGGAAATCCCATTCTCAGATTGGGTTTTAGAATCAGTCCTCTATAGCTGCTGATGGAGGGTTTGGGGCAACCCTGGAGGCAGGGAGACCAGCTAGGGAAAGCGATGGAGGCCAGGGCCCTGGGAAACGCCCCATTGAGACTAACTGGGGCGAGTCAGGGAAGCGCCCTGTGTATCGCCCCATTGAGATGGAGATCTGGGCACAGCAGGAGATGGGGTCAGCGGCATGGGACCATACTGTGCCTCTCCACCATGCCTCCTCTTCCCTCTGGTCACTTTCTGGTTGTCAGGAATGGAGAGGAGGGAGCGAGCTAAGGGGCATGGTGTGGGGGAGGGTCTAGGGGAGAGGTTCTCGGCTTAGTTTTGCCACCTGCGGAAGGGAGGGAGGGACCATATAAATGGTATAAGGAATTTTCACCTATGACAACCTGGGGTTCCACTGGCTAAAATCAGAAGTTAAGTATTTCTGCCAAGGTTACTTCCCACTACATACCTCCTGGCTCAGCAAGTGAGAAGAGAGGCACGGAGCATGGAACATGGGTTGGGGAAGAAACCCAAGCTCTTCAGAAACATCAACAACCTGGCTGACCACACCCCCTTCCAGGCGGATCACCGCCACCCACCCCTCCACCTGACTGACTCCACCTGACCTTCAGGGGCCACCTCTTCCACCCCAGACAAACCTTGACATAAGCCAGTGGTCGGCAAACCGCGGCTCGAGAGCCACATGTGGCTCTTTGGCCCCTCGAGTGTGGTTCTTCCACAAAATACCACGTGCAGGCATGCATGTACAGTGCGATTGAAACTTCGTGGCCCATGAGCAGAAGTCAGTTTTCGGCTCTCAAAAGAAATTTCAATTGTTGTACTGTTGATATTTGGCTCTGTTGACTAATGAGTTTGCCGACCACTGACTTAAGTGATGCTATCCTAATTGCCAGTTCTCCCTCCTGCCCTCCTCACCCCCCATCCCCCCGGCTCCCCAGAACCCAAAGGCAGGGCTGTACCATATCTGCTCTTACTGCCAAGCCTAGCCCACATCGACTATATAGCAAGCGCTCAACAAAAGAAACCTAATAAGCTGTTGTTTCACTTTATGGCGGGGGGGGGGGGGGGGGGGGAAATCAGTTTTCTGACCAGATAAATTAGATAAAACCTAATAACACCCCAGTCAACACTGTAATTCCCCGCTGAATTAATTTATACTTCTGCTTGCAAGCTTAATAATATAGCAACATAGTTTAGAGAGAAGAGGTGGTGATGAATGACAGGCTTAATTAGGCAAACCATTTCACCTAAAATAAAAATATACAAACTCCAAGTGCAGTGATTCAGGAGAAGAAGAAGAAGAAGAAGAAAAAAGAACAACCCACACGTTAAGAACTGAAGCTCCAAACACGACTGTACATTCCTTCTAATTAAGTCTGTCTTTAATCTGCAATTTAAAATGGCAATTCTTTTAATTTAGTGACTTTCTGCAAAAGATAAAGACACAGTCCTCAAAAGAATATGTGCATTTAGAGGGGGAAAAAATTGCCACCCTGCAGAGCTGTTTAGAATGACAGGACCTAACTAATCCCACTAATTAATCCCACCTGATTAATCCCACCTGCAGGCAATTACATGGGGGAGGTGGCATTCTGCAGGAGTGGGGGTCCGGTGGGCAGGACCAGACCCGGCGGCAGTGAGGAGCCCGGTGAATGGCTCCTCCAGGCTCTTCCTCCAGGACAGGTGACAAGGCCCCTCTGTGATGCCGGAAGTGTCCTTCCAGCAGTTGTGGTGTGGCGACAGGCCTCATTCTTTATTTTTTTAAATATATATTTTATTGATTTTTTTACAGAGAGGAAGAGAGAGGGGTAGAGAGCTAGAAACATCGATGAGAGAGAAACATCAATCAGCTGCCTCCTGAACACATCCCACTGGGGATGTGACCGCAACCAATGTATGTGCCCTTGACCGGAATCGAACCTGGGACCCTTCAGTCCGCAGGCTGACGCTCTTATCCACTGAGCCAAACTGGTTTCGGCAGACAGGCCTCATCCTTTAGACCCAGCTCAGGTGCCCCTCACATTCCAGGAGGCCTCTTACTCTGGCTCCATCCAGATTATCTTCCAACGCCATGGTCTTCCTACTTATACAGTAACGTCCTCACTTAGCATCACTGACGGTTTCTGTGACTCTAAGCGAAACGAAGTGTAACAAAACCAGGGTTGCCCCAGGCTTTCATTTAAACAGGAGT